ATTTCCATCTTTGGTTGTCTCAAGTAAAGTATTTTAAAGATAATAAACATTTTTATAACAAAATCTAATTCATCCATGCAAATAATTTAGGAAAAAATTGGAAATAAATGATATTTTTTTGGAGTTTGTCTATATATATATTTTTATTTTTTTAGTTTGATCAAATATAATTTAGTTCAAATTAAAAAAGGTTCAAATTAAAAAATCCCATTATACCCTTAACTTTTTGTTAATTGAAAAATTCATTTTTTTTGCTTTTTAATTCCGAATTCCTTAAATAAAATAAAAAGATTTTTTTTTTATCAAACCCTTTAAATGAGTAAGAGGATTCACTTAAAATAAAATAAATTGTATTTGGGAATAATTGCTCTAATTTCGATTTCACCTTCGTGATCCCTTTATTTCTTGATAATGTATGTTTGATATAACACATATGAAACTAAGGATGTAGTTAAACCATTATAATATTTGGTTAATCAAAGTTAATTTTTCGGTTCATGTGTGTCTATTTTATATGGATCTTATCCGGAAAATCTCTCCGGAATCTGACACTGTCATCGCATTCCACCATCACTTGAATCATTGGATAAGGTTCAATGACCCTCCAGTTGAGAAGTTCCCCGAGATCTTCTCCAGTCCTCTTCATTTGCTTCTCTTGATTGTATGTATCCGGCAAATCCAAGATTCTGATCTAGAAGGGAATGGAGGCCGGGAATCCATCCTCACCGTTGGAACCCATCTTTCAATGGCATTCATCCACCCATCAAAGTGATATGGGCGATTGTCTAACACTGCTACCAGATCTGCTTCCTCCTTGAAACGGAAATGGACCCGTCCTTTCCCCATTTCAACACCCTGAACCCGATGCTCGCACTTTTATATCGTTGGTAAGAAACCTATCTCTGCTCTCTTGTACCTCGAGGTTCAGGACTCGTCCCACCAATGTCTTGTCAAATCGCGTCAAAATATGTGTGTTGTTGACATGAAGGAGTTGCAACGGTTTGGATCTCTTCTTCTCTTGATCTGCAACAACAAGTTTTCCAAAGAAATCCATGGTTGATTCCACCGGTTGGAACAAGCAACACTGCTTTGTGTAATTGCAGGGGAAGAGAATTGAGAACTTTGTGAAAGAAAAACCTATGCTCGGTAACTGGTTATATATCGGGGAAGGGAACTCCAGCATCCCATCAAATCGTCTCATCAAATTGAATGTGATCTGATTGAGGCCAAAAATCCGAGTGAGTCCCATGTTTAAGCATAAATCAGATCCAAGATTTCCTCCAAATAAAGGAGATTTCGCAGACCCGTGATGTCTTCTTTGACAAAGAAAGTGCCTTTCCATAACTGAGTCTCTTACGAAATCACCATTGAAGAGGAGGTCCCTTGCCAAATCATCATTGAAAGAGAGATCTCGACAGTGCTGGTTTTATCCGGAATGGATCTACACCGCATCGATAGCTTGACACCAAGCTCGCCGAAATTTAGGGACGCAACACCTGGGTTGTGCCGATGAGTCTTCCGGAGATCTCCGACTTGACGCCATGGCCGGAGATGGGAGAAACGCTTGAACATGACGGCTTTGATTTAAAAAAACCGACCGTTTCATCGCCTCAGCGAAGCTCCTTCTATGTATAACGTATATAACCTTTATTAATTTGTTAGAATGACATTAAACATGATAAAGTATTTTGTTTCTGTTTGTATTTTTATATACTAAATTTTGTTTTAATACGTTTTTGTTATAAAAAGAATGATATAATTTATCATTTCGATAAATATCAGTAAGAACAAAAATATTATAACCGGTAAAGAACGGGATACTGATAAAATGAAGATTGAGAAAGAAGGAAGGTTTGCTACTTCTTATTTTTGAAGTTATGAATTGTGTGTGTAGAAATGAAGGGAATGCATCCTTTATATAGAAGAGAAAAAGCATAAGTTAGTGTTTGGGAGTAGTAATATGAGCTCCATATAGTGAAATGCATATAGTGAAATGCATTTAACTATTATAACAGTTTTCAGTTTGTTTCCATAATTTTTTTTTGTTAATTGATTTTTAAAATTG